TTTGTGCGGTCAGTGTTAGCCAGCATTCTCTGAAGTGATGTGGGTTGCAGATTGGGCACGTCCATATGGCATGTGCCACCTGGAGAGACTTGATTTAGGAAAAAGTTTTTTTTTTTATTTAAATATATATAATATATAATAGTTTATTTATCAATATTAATAAATATAAAGATTAATTATTAAATTGTTTATTTCTTAATTGGGTTAAAGTTTGGAATTTGAATATAAACAAACTATTTATTATGGTTTGGATATTTAAATAACAATTATATAAGTATATATCTTTTTATTTCTGCTTTAATAATATTGATGAAAACTTTTTGAATTTTGAATTATTTTATTAATTAATATACAGTATATATATTACTACAATTTGTTATAATTTATTATTTTTACATGTATTATCTATGTAGTATTTTATTATTTTTTCAAAAATTCTTAAAATATAAATATAATTTTAAATAGTATAGCAAATTCAAAGTGCTATAGCTTAAAAATATAATTTTCAAGTTTCTATCTATGGCAAAAAGACTAGAGAAACAATTTTTGTTAAGATCTCAAAACAATTGTTTTAAGAATATTTGAGTTATTTTATTTTTTTTTTATAAATAAGAATTTTTTTAATAATTATTCAAAGTATAACAAATAATTTTTTAGTTAATTTTTTGTGTAAATACATAAACTACACATAAATAATTAGATTAGAAGTGATTTGCAATTGATTAAAATATTATAAAAAAATTGTATTTTTCTTCAACTTTGAAAAAAAAACAACTGTAAACAACCAAATTCATAATTATAAACTTTAAATTTGGAAATTTCTTTTAATTCTTTTAATAAAATTATTATTATTTCATATTTTCTTTTATATTTTTTATTATTTTTCCTTTGAAATTTAATTTTATATATTGTTATTTTTGATTCTAATATCAAAGCAGAGTTATGAAATTAATTAAATCAATAATTTTGAATTATTTATATTAATTTATTTAATATTGTTTTAAACAAAACATATATTGAATTAATTAAATTATTTAGGATTAATTATTTTTTTCAGTAATTTTGAAGTTTGTTAAGAGAAGAACTAAAGGTTTCAATATATTAAAATATGAATTTTTTTTTCAGGTGCAAAGATATCAGTAGTGCATGATATTTATTAAGTAATTTATATCCAATTATATAATTCAAGATTTATTAATGTTATTGTCCTTGGAGAACTTTTTCATCAGCTCTTTATCACTAAGACAATGATAACAAATTCCTGAGGAAGAAATAAAGTTAATTGAAGGGAAATGTTCATTGCACATGGGATTTATTTCAATATGAAATTTTTGCAGAAGCATATGGTCAGATTTGGAAAGATGTTGAAAATTGCTAAGAAATGATTCATCCTAAAGATTCAGATGTTTTGGCGTTTCATTATAATAATTCAGATGTTCATCGGCAACATCTAAGATGCATTGTCTTTGTTGTTACTTTTGCTAACAAAATGAATTTTGCATTGCTCAATTGTTTTCAAGACCCTTTTTACTTTCATATTTTCACAAATGTTATTAAGATGTGCTTCATATTCGTGTAGAGTTTCCACATCTCTTTGTTTTTGTTTATTAATATGGGTAATTATTTTCGAAGGTGGACTGGAAATTTTCTGATAGAATCCTGAAATTTATACTATATATGTATTGTCTAAAAGTTGGGTCTGAAAAAATCTTATCTAGCATTTTTGATGCCTTCAATAATAATTACCCATATGATTAGTAACACGTTGTTTGGGAGTTTCATTCTCCCTACTTTTTTGTTTTCTAATTGAATTGGTATTTTGATTAAGACTCCTTTTATGCATTATATAAACAAATTTATTAAAAAAAAATAAAAAAATAACAAGGAAATATTTAAGACACGTGAATTATTGAAATTGCATTAAATAAATAAATTAAATGTTTTATAGTAAAATAACAAGAACGTAACTAAGATTGTTCTCAAGTATCTCGATCAATTGATTCATGTAATAAAGATTGTGATGATAATTAATGATGATATTAAGAGAATCAAATGCTTGAGCATACTCTAAAAAATAAAATAGCAATTTTCTAGATCAGTCACAATTTGTTAAGAATTCATTTTTTTTTATAACTTAAGCTGTTCTCAAACACTTTACTCAATGAATTTTTTAAATAATTTAATTGGATAAAAAAATTGATCGTAAATATCATTTAGATCAAAAAAACTTGGAGCTATAATTACCAATTTTTTTCATAGAGTTACGCTAATTGGTCAAATTTTATAATCGATGGAGTAATCAAAAAGATTGTTCAAGCTTTAAGCTTTATTTTTTTTAATATAGAGCTTCAACAAAATCGCCATTACTTTCAAAAAATAATTATATTATTTTTTATGTTAAAAACTTTTATATCAAGTAAAAAACGTTCAGAAATTAATACACAAAGAATAAATATATATTACCTTCTAGTTTTTAATTACATTACAACGAATATAACTACTCCCTTTATTTTTTTCCATCTAATACAAGAATACAAATTCAGCGAAGACCTAAAACTGGAGGGTTTTGGACAAATATTTTTCTGTATCTAATAGATGGAGAGGGTTATAATTCTTTTCGGTGACATTTTCGTATTACTCGGGTTACTTTTTATGCTATTGTTTCTCGTTTAGAGACACATTCAGCTTTTATATCAGATGCCATTAATGCAACACCTGTATGGAAACAAATTGCAATTGTATTATGGCGATTAGCAAATGGTGTGGGAATACGGGTATTATAACAAACACTTGGAGTAAGTCAAGGATCTGTAAGCCATTTTACCGACCGATTTCTGAGAGCATTACTAGATTTAGAACAAGAACGAATTTCATGGCCACAAGGATCACGATTAGCGACAATAATACAAGGATTTGAATATGGAAAAACTGAATTTGGAAATCACAAATTGTCCAATGTTATTGATGCAATGGATGAATCTCATATACCTATTCGTGCACCTTCTAAAAATGGTTCACGTTATATAAATTGTAAAAGCTTTCATTCGATTAATCTTCTTGGAGTTGTTGATCATCAAGGACGTTTTATTTATATACATGTTGGAGAAGCAGGTTAGTAATTATTGGTTTTTTAAAATAAAATATATTTATTTATTAGTTTTTATTATAGGAAGTGTATATGATGCTCATGTATTTTATCATTCTTCTCTTTATCGAGAAATTTCTTTGCATCCAGAACAATGGGTTCCAGGTGGTATACATATTATTGCAGATGCAGCATATCCTTTATGAACATATTTAATGAAAGCATATCCTGATTATTATATGTTAACACATCATGAACGACATTTTAATAAAATTCTTTTATCAATGCGAATGATTATAGAACGAGCATTTGGATATTTGAAAGGAAGATGGAGAATTTTACTAAAAGAAATTTACTGTAATAATATAGAAAGAATCATAAAAATAATTCATGTATGTTGTATTTTACATAATATTTGTATTGATATGGACGACGAATTACCTTTAGAAGATATTAGTTTAGATAATGAAATAGATGAGGAGATTGAATTCGAAACAATAAGTGAAATACAAGAAGAAATGGCTGGTAAACAAAAAAGAGAATATTTAGCAGATATTCTTATAAATTTGCAATAAATTTATTTATTATGTTGTATACATATATTTAAATTTACATAATAATTGCTTTATTTATAATTCTAATTATTATTTAGAATTTTAATAAGAATTGTTTAAAAAGATCCATTTGTTCTTCGTGTTGTTTTTGTTGCATTTCCGAAGTATAATTATATTGATCTTTTATCATTTTTGTAATAGTTTCAGTTTGTTCTTTAATCAAAGTACGGAATTCAGTCATCTTTTCTTCTTTAGTATATACATTTTTTCGTTTTTTAATATCTTTCTATAAATTATAAATATTAAATTAGTTATAAATAAATAAATAAATAAATACATTTTTACCTCATTTTCTTCGTGATCCTCAATACTTCTTCGTTTAATTCCATAGATTGAGTCACTTGTAATTGGTGCAGTAACGCTTGGATCTTTTTTTAAATATTCATCCATATAATCAAAGAATTCCCAATTATTTTGAATAGCTTCTTCATCGGTACTTGCAATCTTATCTTTGATATCACGATATTTTTGAAAAAGTGAATCCCACTTTTGTTGAATTGATGCTTTTGTACGTTCTTTTAAAACTAAGCTTGCAATTTCAGAAGATTGCACATTAGCAATAACTTTATTCCAAATTTGACCTTTTTCTTTTGGATCTTTTGCTTGTTGTAATGCCTGTTGCTGTTTTTCTACTTCTTCAATAAGTAACCGTGTTTCAGATGAAGTCCATTGATTTGATAATTTGCCAGAAGTAACGGTTGAAGAAATATTAGATTCAATATCTACAGGACCGAATGGCAATAAATTTTCTTGATTTTGACTAGTAGTAAATAAGGGTTGCGAAAATGAAATCTAAAATAATAATAATAATTTTTTTATATATCATGCATATGTTTTATTAAAATAATATAAATTATTTACTGTTTCATTTGATGTTGTTTTATTTAACATTAAAGGATCCATATAAAATTGTGTTGCCGAATATGGTTGTTGTAATGATCGTGTAGCCACCGAATATGGTTGTTGTTGTGATGATAAGTTACTAAGAGAATAAGTAACTGGAAATGAGGTTTTATTAATCAAAGTGTTTGGTGTTGAAGTTTTGGATGCCAAAGTTTTAGGTAATTGGGTAATCGCCTTTTTTTTTCTTGGAGCCATAATAGTAAATAATTGAAGAAAGAAAAGAGATAGCTCAAGCGTCAATTGCAATCTTTATTCAATTGATTGTAACGTTTGAGCATCATTTCGATCACTAGCCAATTACATTGAAGGAGATGCTTGAGAACAACCTCAATAACTTCTAATGCTTGAGTAACCTTTATCATTATCATTAATCAATAATAAATTTTTCGATAAATTTTTGGAGAAAAAGGTATCTAACTAATTTTCCCATTGAAATAGCAACACCCTTGATTCATATATATATTTGTTTGATTTCCGACTAATTAAAAATTCACCTCCGATTCATTAATTGAGAATAATTAAAAAATCACTTCCGATTAATTAATCATTATTATTATTATTATTATTATTATTAAGAATAACCGTAATATAAATCACGTCTACAAAATATCATTCATCGATCAGGCGGGACAGACAGACATTGCATCCATTTGACGTAGAAGTATATGGTCCTACGCTTTGCTTCAGACAATTATCTTGGGAAAAAATATGGTTGGGTGAATCATTGTGTTACCAGAAAAAAAGGCCTGCTGGATCCGATAGATAGGATAGGAATTTATTACAGTAGATAGAATACGATGATAATGATGTAGGTTCACATGATCCAAAGCTGGTAGCCAACCAATAAAATGATCTTTAGCATATATGCAGTGTACAACATCATACAACTTTTGCACTTTGAACTTTATGGACTTCTGTGCGACAAATGCATGGTATAAATATTTTAGACACTAGTTACATATTTTAATTTTGAATACAGTATTATAAATTATTTTAAAATGTATCAATCTAAAAGTTTGCAATCGAAAAATGGATGGATTGAAGGACTCGAAAGCTCTATAAATGAGCTGATGTTAAGGAGTTTTAAATATAGCGAATTCAGGGATATTGAAACGATGGTAAGAGGTGACTTTGGAAAAGTATATAAAGCTTTTTCAAAAAGCATTGGGAAAATAGTAGCTATTAAAAGAGTTAAAGTTTTTGACGAAGAGTCAGCAAATGTCTTCATTAAAGAGGTATTTGTTTTATTATGTGTATTAATTATAGTAGTTATTTGATGATGCCTAAAAGTAAAATTTATTTATTACTTAATAGCTTAAGTTGCATCAAGACGTTGACTTTGATAACATAATACAATTTTATGGGATTTCTAAGAAAGGTAATATGCTACAATGATTTTGAATGCGTTTGCCTAACTGATACGGTACTGTATATACAATTATACAGATCCACAAAAAACCGAATATCTTATGGTTATCGAATTTGCAGAAGAAACATTGCGGCTATACCTTCAAGAAAATTTTGCTTTATTAAATTGGGGAGATAAGCTGCGCATGGCAAAGCAGGTTACAAGTGCGATCAAGTATTTACACGAAAGAGATATTATTCATACGGATTTGGTAATTAGATTATATACTGTATAAATGCATTTCTATTATACCGTATTTCTATTATTTATATGTTTATTATGTTTATTTTTAGCATCCAGGGAATATTTTCATCCATTGCGGTAATATAAAACTTGCCGATTTTGGACTGTCTAAGAAATTAAGAGAAGCATCGAGCACACAAACTGACAGCGTATCTGTCGAAATTGTACCATATATTGATCCACAGAGTTTTAAAAAAATAGATAAAGGTGCCTATTACAAAAAAACCAAAAAGTCAGATGTTTATAGTTTAGGAGTTTTACTATGGGAGCTTACAAGTGGATATCCACCTTTTAGTTCGAATGGATACAAAATATCATTAATTTATCAAATTTTGGAGGGCCTTAGAGAAACAAGCATGATAAGTACGCCTCAAGGATATATCGATATTTATGAAGGTTAGATTATAAAGAAAAAAATTACTTATCTGTACTACGTTAATAATTAGTCTTTTTTTAGATGAACTAATTATTTTTAAACTTTTATTAGCCTGTTGGGATGAAAATCCAAACAACAGGCCAGAAATTATTCAGGTTCAAGAATTGCTCGAATCTTTACATACGAAAGCCAAATCAGTTGCAATGAAAACTCCTGGGACACTTCAGTTTCACGAAACCAAAAATACAAATAGTATTAATGATTTTTTAATAAATAGCGAATTTGTCAAAGAAATAGAACTAGAACTCAACACTTTAAATGAAATATATCAACTTATTTCCAATAACATAAGTAAAGGGCTTATTACTCATCAGAAAATGACTACTTGTATTAACACGTTTATCGAAAATAATCACACGACCGCAGCCCATATTTTTAATTTATTAATTGATTGCCAGGAAATACCTGAAAATGCTTTAACTCTCGGATTTTTTTATTGTTATGGAATCGGAACTATTAAAAATGAAGAGAAAGCTTTTCAATGGCATTTGAAATCTGCAGAAGGTGGAGATACCAATGGACAAGATAGTCTTGGGTTCCTTTATATGTATGGGATTGGAACTTCTAAAGACAAAAAGAAGGCGTTTCAATGGTATCAGAAGTCTGCTAAAGGGGGAAACCCTTCAGGACAGTCTAGTCTTGGATATTGTTATAAATATGGAGTTGGGACTACTAGCAATTACAAAAAATCATTTCAATGGTACCTGAAATCTGCCGAAAATGGACATACAATTGGACAATGTTGTCTTGGGTTATCCTATCAATTAGGATCTGGAACTATGGTAGACCTCGAGAAAGCGTTTCAGTGGTACCTAAAATCTGCTGAAGGTGGAAATACTAGTGCACAAATTAATCTTGGAGTATTTTATTCACAATGGAATAGGAACCGTGAAGGATAATGAAAAAGCAAACTATTGGCTAAATAAATTCTATAGTAGTCAAAAGTGATTGTACTTTTTTACCAATCACGATTATGGGTTTGATTTATTATATGACACACGTAATCATTATTTATTTATTGCGCAATCCAGCAGTTATGCCAATTTTTTTTCAGAGTTTATTATAAGCAAAGCTAGGACTATTAACTCTCAAAAAAATAAAAAGTAAAAAAACAATTATGTGCTTATTGTAAATTCAAATAATTGTCATTCTTTTAGAAATGAAAGAAAATATAGCAAGATGGGTAATTTATTGTACCATCATGAGTTAGACATATTTAATATAGTAAGTTGAATTGTATTAACAAGTAATTTTTATTTAACTGAAAAAACAAATGATAAATATAATATTCCTAAATTTCTTGAGCTTTGTTTCTTAGACAAGCAATTAAACGTTTTAAATATTATAGAAATTATTAAGAATACTTTTTTGATCATTGGTATTTCTAACTTCTAGCTATATTAATTACTAAGTTGATTTTTTAATTTTCTTTTAATAATATTAAAAAAGTAATATGAGTAATAATGATTTTTTTTGACAAAATAGTATTATTTTAAATGATAATTTAGATAAAAAACTTTTCAATTAATTTATTTTTTATTTTATCTTAATATGTGATCTTTTAGTACTGTAATTGTTGATTTAATTTTTATAAAAGTAACTTAGTATAAAATTTACAACAATAGTGATATATTGAAATATGTTGTTATAAACATTGACCTGCTAATAAGTAAATATGTCTATAAAAATCTTAATTTGAAAAAATTATAAAAGTAACTATTTACAAAATTAGAAAATCAATATTTTTCTATTAATTTAGTTTTTTATTTAGATCTATTAAAAATAAATTTTCAATTAGTAAAATACAATTGAATTAGATTATTATTGGTTTTATTTGTTGGTGTTGTGATAATAGATATTTTTTTGTTGAATTGAATATTATTATTTTTAGTGTTTTTTTGTTACAACATAATTTCAAAAATTTTTTCCTGAAAAATTATATCTTTATTTCTGGATTTTTATATATTGTTATATATTAATTTAAAAAGTTTGTTAAAGATTGAATATGTTTGAAAATTGAAATATGTTTTTTTTTGTATTATGATTTATAAAAGATTAGGCCAATAATTATTGATATTGAGTTTTAAATATTATTAGAATATTGTAAAATGAGTGAAAAAGAATTATTAATTGCTTTTTTAATAATTTGATATACTAATAATATGATTTTTTTAATATATTGTTATTAATGAGATAGATTTAAATATAATTAATAGTTTTTTTTAATAAGTTATATTTTGAATAAAGATTTAATAATATATAAATAATATTTAATAAAAAGATTGCATGAAATAATTTTAAAATTAGAGTTATTTATAGCAAATTAAAAAATATTTAAAAGTATAGATATTAAATTATGAAATTTAAATATATAAAAAAGATATTGAAATTTATGATTGAAAAGTCAATAGGATTTTTTTTAAATTTAATATTAAAAGTTTTATAAAAATAATTAATTTTTAAAATATGTTTGTAACTAGAAGAAAAAATTAAATTGAAATAATTAATTAGAATATATAAGATAAATTAAAAATAATTGTAATATTGTTATATAAATATAGGTTTATGGTTTGTAAAAGATATAATATATTTGTAAGAATTAAATAGTTTGTTTTAAATTATTTTTTATATTTTTATAAGGTTTTTTGTAATTGTATAGCAATTTTTAAAATTAAATTTAAACAGTTTTGTTTATTTTATAGTTTTTGAAAAGAAGTTAATAATTAAATAATAAAAATTATTTGAATTATTTTTTTATTATAAATAAATATAAGATACAAGACTTTATTAATTAAATATTAATTCTGTCATTATATTAAATATTATTTAAGTTAATACTAGTTTATTGTATATACAGTGGCTTACTAAAGTAATAAATCACTTGTAAAAAATTTTTATTATAATTAAATAATATAATATTTTTTTATACAATAATTTATTAAAAAATATATAGTTAGTATATATGTAACTATTAAGTTAGAATTTCATATTAAATTAATTTTAAGTTAAAGATTTTATTAATAAAAAAATTTTTTATAATACTAGCTTGTTTCTGATTCTAAAATATATAATATATCTAAAACAATAAAGTTATCAAAATCCGATTAA